TCTTTCTTTGCCCGTCGTCGTTCCCTGTCTCTTGCCCTTTGCTGTATAGCTCAGGTGTCTGTGTGTGCGCGTGAGTTCCCTTTCTTATTGTATACCAGAGTGCATAGCTAAATCCTGGGCATTCGTAATAGTTAGGACTGACTTCTGCCCAGAGTCACCGCCCTCTTGTCTGTGTGACAGTTATATGTATTTGGGGTCCTGTTTACTTCAGGTTGCACAGCCCCGCTCGAGCCCTCCCCGTTCTCCGCTGTTCTTCGCCGTTCCTCGCCGTTCCTCGCCGTTCTTCTGTCCTGCTAGCTCATAGCTGAGACTACCGCCGTTCTGCCCCCCCCCCCCTCGCCGCCGGCGTACAAATTGTGGAAGTCGTACCCATAGTAATGGAGTCGGCAACCTGAGTCGTCTCACAGAAACTCGTTGTGGCGCATTCTGCACACCCTCTTCGGAGTCACCCCAGAATCCAGCGTCTTGTCGCTGTCAAGTTGGCCCCAGCCAACGCAGCTGCCTAGCAACTCCCAGCCCAACCCCTGTGAGACTGGCCAAGTCGTTGTGACTTTGGCGGGCCTGTCAGGGTAGAGTCAGGTACGGTCAGGGGGATTCCAGGGCTCAGAGCAATAGTTGTCCTGAGGCAAGCAGGGGCCTCAACGACGTCATTGGGTTTTGTATGTATTTGAATGTTCTCTTGCCTCTAAATTCACCTTATCCCTGGATAGGGTGTCCCAGAACCAAAACGAGTCGGTGGGGAAACTCGCTGAAACCTGTCCGGGCACTGGACAACAATCCAGACCAAAATTCACAAGTTGTCACCCCTGAGAAGGTACCACACTCGTTGCCTGGATTCTCGACGCGGCCCGAGTTCCACAATTTATGACAACCGAACACCCCCTAAGTTGCAAGTGGCGGTGATCGCCGAAACGCAACTGAAAACGGTTAAGTCGTGAGCAGTCGCCCACTGCTTACACAGACGTGATGATGTGCAGGTGAAGCTGGAGAAAGTAGTCAAAATGAAAGAGGAGTATGCATCAAAGAACAAAAGAGAAAGCAACGTGTCGAGAATAAAATGCATTGCACAAGCTGGGATGCGACTGTGGGCCGCAAAAAGTGGCCCATGGGATGAGGGCTGGGATGGCGCGTAAAATTACCCAAAGAGGCAGTGGATGGGATGGCCGAGCTGACAAGCAAACACGTCCAAATTTGCCGAACAGGATGACGACCTGGCCACCGACCGTCACCCCATCCTGTGCCTCTCAGGGCAGGCCAATTTTAACCCTGGATGAAGCCTTCATCCCATCCAGAAATCCTTTCCAAACAGACCCTCATCAGTACACTGTACATCAGTCGATCCTTTTGTCAGCTTGGTCTTGCAAAGTCTAATCATGACCTGACCTCTCATTCAAGACCTTGCATAGTACAGCGCTTGTAGCACTGATAGAGATGAGAACTGACAAACAAAAAGTCAAAAAGATGGTCTCGTCCCGGGATTGAACCGAGGACCACCCCCAAAGCGACTCGAAAATCACCCTAAGAGGGCATGCTACCACTGCACCAACGAAACGGCTATGCCACCAAAGACCGATTGTGGAAAGTTTGACAATCAACAGTTCACAACCTTTGTCGCGAGGCACCGCACCAAACCCGAGTTTCAGGTCACATGCCATGAAGTGGAACTGGGTTTCTGCTGGGCCGGTGTGTACTCAAATAACTATATCGGCCACTTCAGGGTATGAGGATGACACAAATGGTGATTAATGTCAGATTCAGATAACATACACCGCCGGTCAACTCGAATGTCCTGCAGATATCACCGCGCGCAGATGTCCGTATGATGTGATCTAAGTAATTGATTTTGATGTCGCGCGGACATTTTGGCGTCCAAATGTCACACAGACATTTCGATGTGTGGCCTTCAAGATGTCGCGCGGATATTTTAATGCAGTTTCCAAAAACATCATATGGATATTTTCAAGGGTATGTCAGAATGTCTGGTGG